GACCCCGAGGCACCGRGAGCTCCAGTGACAGGTCCTACAGCCAAGGAGGAGAAGGCAAGATGGTAACAGGGCTCTGCCATTGCAGCCACACCCGGGCCTCGGTTTTTTTGTCCGTCCAATGGGAACAGCGGTGCTGCGGGTGCGTTGCGGCCCAGCCAGGGAGGGCGGGCGCAGGCTGGCCAGACCTGCCCAGCTCTGCCCACCAGCTAGCCGCTTCTGTGGGCCTCGGTTTCCTCCGTTCTAAAACKGGGCAGCGATAGTCCTTGTTCATAGGGCCCCTGGAGGATAAGGCACAATTGTGTTCATGAAGCATCACGGGCGCCGAGAACGCCAAGAAGGCTCCTGGTGAAGCTGCRCCATCTAATACTTGGGCCCAAGTCCACCGAAGGTGCACCCGGAGTGCCAAACSGGCTGGATTGGGAGCGCAAGCGACTCGTTCATAAGTTTTCATCTTGATTACATGGTAAAAGGATGATATTATTGGTACATCACCTTAAATAAAATATTATTAGAATTGATTTCATTATGTGTCAATTTTAAAAGAAACAAAAAAATTGATTTCACCTGTTCAGTTTTGTTTTTTTAATATGTGGATCTAGGAAATTTAGGAAGTGCGCATGTGGTTCACATGGCATTTCCACTGGGCAACGTGGGTGTAAGTAGTGGCCGCTATTATCATTCTGTGACTTTGACTTTGCCAAGAATATTGCATTCCTTATACTGAATGCCTTTCAGGTACAGTTTTTTTTTTTCCTTTACCTTTTCGTTGTTTGTTTTGTTTTTATTCCTGCTTTTTGTTCATTGGGGGAAAAATAACAAAAGAAAAAAATTGCCTATAATCCCCAACATCTGGAATTCAGTGCTAAGAACAGCTTGGAGGATTTCCTCCCAGGCTTTTTTGGCACATGTAGACAGATACCTAATTCTTAGTTTTATGAAATTGTGATTGTATAGTATCCTATCTGGGGCTCCCCATCCCCACCCCCAATATTCTACACAAGCATCGCCACATCACTAGGCTTCAGACATGTGATCTGACGGCTGTGTGGCCTTCTGTGCCTCAGCGCATGGCGACAGGAGGACCCTGTGAGACTGCYCACCATGCCCCAGCCCAGCACTGTCTCTCCTGTGGTCCCCAGCCCCAGCCCCTACGTGTAAGTGGTAGCCAAGGTCATGGGCTAGGAGCTGGGACTCCAGTTCCAGAGGGCCTTGATCTAGTGGCAAATCTACTCTTCCCTCTGTGTCCTTGGWCAAGTCAATGCACCTCTCTGTGCCTAATTCACAATCCCTCCAGGCTAGACGTGTTTGGGCACTCTGATATTAGAAAGGTGGTAAAATGCAGCATATATTTTATAACATACTCCTGATTAAATATGTAACTATTTCTATAGTGAAATGTTTCAATAGTCAAGTGAGACCAATAAGAGCCTTAAATAAACCAGCTCTGTGGTACACACCTACAATTCCAGCTACTCCAGAAGCTGAAGCAGGAGGATCACAAGTTCACAAGTTCAAGACCAGCCTGGCAACTTAGTAAGACCCTGTCTCAAAATTTAAAAAAAAAAAAAAAAAAAGGAAAGGTTTTGGGATGTGGCTCAGTGGAAAAGCACTTGCTTAGCATGCATGAGGCTCTGGGTTTTATCCCCAGCACTGCAAAAATAAATAAATAAACAAAAWACTTTCACGTGGAGTTTGGTATCAAAATTATGAAAAATATGGCTTTCAGGGTTTTGTGAATTTTGGGACTGCAGGTATTGAATAAGGACTCCTAATAGTACCTACCGATGGTATAGGGCATTAGAGGGTTAAATGAGTTATTACCCATAAAGCATTTAGAGTAGTGCCTGGCACCAAATAATGTTCAATGCCTGTTAGTTACTACTATTCCTATTCTTTATCTTTTATTATTTTTTACAATAAGTATAATTTACACATAATAAAGGACCCCGTTTTAAGTGTACAGTTGGCAATTTTGACAGTTACACTCACCCACATAACACCACCCCAATAGACAACATTTCCATTGCCCCTGAACGTTCCCTCATGTCCCTTCCCACCTGCCCCCACCCCACCCACACTAGAAGACACCCCCTGGGGACCCCTGGAGCGTGGCATCAGGCCTCTGGCTGCCTGGTGGGGCTTCCTCTGCTCCGCCCAAGGCTGGAGGGAGCGTGGGGGGCGGTTTCTTCCTTGAGGGCGAGGGGTAGGGCTCTGTTGTGGGGACGAACCACTGTGCTTGTTGTTCACCCGTTGGTGGACATTTGGGGTTTCCATTCCAGGCTGTAATGAACAGAAATGCTGTGAACACCCACGCCGCGACTGTTGCGTGGACATCTGTTTTCATTACTCTTGAGGAAGAGCCCAGGAGTGCAATGGCGGAGGCGTGGCAGCCCCGTCTTAACATTGTCAGCAGCTAGAGTCTCTTCCAAAGTGGTCTCACCATCTGATTCTCCCACCAGCCAAGTATGAGAAATCCGGTGGTTCCACACTCTTGTCAGCACGCGGTGCCCGTATGATGGTCAGTATCACTGATCCGTTTCTCCTCCCCACCCCCAGGTGATCCGCACAGACACCTTCAAGCACCTGCGGCACCTGGAGATCCTGCAGCTGAGCAAGAACCTCGTGCGCAAGATCGAGGTGGGCGCCTTTAACGGGCTGCCCAGCCTCAACACGCTGGAGCTCTTCGACAACCGGCTGACCACGGTGCCCACGCAGGCCTTCGAGTACCTGTCCAAGCTGCGGGAGCTCTGGCTCCGCAACAACCCCATCGAGAGCATCCCCTCCTACGCCTTCAACCGCGTGCCCTCGCTGCGCCGCCTGGACCTGGGCGAGCTCAAGCGGCTGGAGTACATCTCGGAGGCAGCTTTCGAGGGGCTGGTCAACCTGCGCTACCTCAACCTGGGCATGTGCAACCTCAAGGACATCCCCAACCTGACCGCCCTGGTGCGCCTGGAGGAGCTGGAGCTGTCGGGCAACCGGCTGGACCTGATCCGCCCGGGCTCCTTCCAGGGCCTCACCAGCCTGCGCAAGCTGTGGCTGATGCACGCCCAGGTGGCCACCATCGAGCGCAATGCCTTCGACGACCTCAAGTCGCTGGAGGAGCTCAACCTGTCCCACAACAACCTGATGTCGCTTCCCCACGACCTCTTCACACCCTTGCACCGCCTCGAGCGGGTGCACCTCAACCATAACCCCTGGCACTGCAACTGCGACGTGCTCTGGCTGAGCTGGTGGCTGAAGGAGACGGTGCCSAGCAACACGACGTGCTGCGCCCGCTGCCACGCGCCGGCAGGCCTCAAGGGCCGCTACATCGGCGAGCTGGACCAGTCGCACTTCACCTGCTACGCGCCGGTCATTGTGGAGCCGCCCACGGACCTCAATGTCACCGAGGGCATGGCCGCCGAGCTCAAGTGCCGCACGGGCACCTCCATGACCTCCGTCAACTGGCTGACGCCCAACGGCACCCTCATGACCCACGGCTCCTACCGCGTGCGCATCTCCGTCTTGCACGACGGAACGCTCAACTTCACCAACGTCACCGTGCAGGACACGGGCCAGTACACGTGCATGGTGACGAACTCGGCCGGCAACACCACCGCCTCCGCCACGCTCAACGTCTCGGCGGTGGACCCCGTGGCCGCGGGGGGCGCCGGCGTGGGCGGGCCCGGGGGCGGGGGCGGCGGCGGCGGCAGTGGCGGCTACACCTACTTCACCACKGTGACGGTGGAGACCCTGGAGACGCAGCCCGGGGAGGAGGCCCTGCAGCCGCGGGGGACGGAGAAGGAGCCCCCGGGGCCCACGACCGACGGCGTCTGGGGAGGAGGCCGGCCGGGGGACGCGGCCGGGCCTGCCTCGTCGTCCACCACGGCGCCCGCTCCGCGCTCCTCCCGGCCTACGGAGAAGGCGTTCACGGTGCCCATCACGGACGTGACGGAGAACGCCCTCAAGGACCTGGACGACGTCATGAAGACCACCAAGATCATCATCGGCTGCTTCGTGGCCATCACGTTCATGGCCGCCGTGATGCTGGTGGCCTTCTACAAGCTGCGCAAGCAGCACCAGCTCCACAAGCACCACGGGCCCACGCGCACCGTGGAAATCATCAACGTGGAGGACGAGCTGCCCGCAGCCTCSGCCGTCTCGGTGGCCGCCGCCGCCGCGGTGGCGGGCGGGGCCGGCGTGGGCGGGGACAGCCACCTGGCCCTGCCCGCCCTGGAGCGCGACCACCTCAACCACCACCACTACGTGGCGGCCGCCTTCAAGGCGCACTACAGCAGCAACCCCGGCGGCGGGGGCTGCGGGGGCAAGGGCCCGGGCGGCCTCAACTCCATCCACGAACCTCTGCTCTTCAAGAGCGGCTCCAAGGAGAACGTGCAAGAGACGCAGATCTGAGGCCGCCGCGCCTCGGCCCGCGGGACGCGGGCGGGTGGGGACCGCGGCTCCCGCCCCGCGGCGCGCGCTGGGGTCCGGGCACGCGCCTCTGCGCCCCTCGCCGCCCCACCGTCCGGGCGACCGGAGGGGACGCGAGATCAGGAGAAGCGGCCGAGCCCGCGCGTTTCCTCGCGCCCTGCGACCAAGTCCCGCCCGCCCGCCGCCTTCCAGGGGAGAGGAGCTTTTTTGAGGGGTGTCCTTTCCCCTCGTCCCAACAGCCCTCCTTTTACGGTTCATTTTTTGCAGTTTGACGCCTGTCCCTCCCTCCCCTCCCCCACCCCTGAGACCCAAGAGACAGACGCCGCCGGAGCTGGCGACACCCGGCGTCCCTGCGCTAGCTCCGCTCCCTGCTGCCGGCCGGTGGCTGGGGGTCGGGGCGGCGCCCCAGCCCCTCGTGCCCGTAGACTCTTTTGATACTGAAGGGAGGTTTGCGTCAACGACTACCTGCTCTGTAATTACTTTAAAAAAAAAAAAAAAAACACGGAAAAAGTAAAAAAAAAAAAAATTTTTTTTTTTTGGTCATGAAAGCATGGAGGAGACCCAAAACAAAATGGATGTGGGTGGGGACCACAACGAGGGGGTGGAAACGAAGTCTCATASGTCCCAACCAGCTTGGCTCATCTCCAGGTGGTCTTAGGCGCCCCCCTCCCCCCAGACCCCAGAGAGGGTTATGGTCACCTGGTGCACACCTGCTGCTCCCATCGCACCTCCYGGCAGCCAGTCTCTGCTGGGAATTCTCACACTGCCTCCCACATCTCGGCTGACAACATGGCGGGGGCCTAAGGCTGCAAAGTACCACTGGCTGGGTGGCTTAAAACAACCGCGTGTATCGTGTGGCAGTGCTGGAGGCTTTAAGGCCAAGCTCAGGTGCCAGCCTTGCTTTGCAGCATCGTCCCCCAGTCCTTCCCCTGTGTTGCCACATCACCTTCCCGCTGTATGTGCCTGTCTGTATCCAACTCGGCCTCCATGCAGGGCCAGGTAACAGGGGATTAGTTAGGAGCCCACCTCCAGGAAAAGCGTCTCTTAACCTGATCTTTGGAGACAGCCAACCATCAGAGGCCACATTTGAGGTACCAAAGGTCAGGACTTCAACATCTCTTTCCAGATGGCAAAATGCAACCCATGACAGGGTCCAAATCAGAGGGTCGTTCTCCACTGCAAATCCCCCCAAGCCTGCTGGGGAATGAAGCAAGTGGCTGAAAGGGAGCGTGGCTGGTAGGGGTGGGTGTGACAGGAGGGTGGCTCCAGCTACAGGAGGCCTGGGGAACATCAGGGGAGTTGCAGAGACAGGACAAGTGYCCAGGAAGGGGAAGGGGACTGAACTCGGGGACAGACTCTGGGGTCCTTCCAGAAAGAGTGGTGCTGGGCCAGGCCAGTGGGCAGCTGCAGGGGTGAGTTGGACATCTCTGGGGGTACACAGTCTCCAAGATTCAACCTCAAGAAGGCTGGAGTCCCCAGGGCTGTCATCAAAAGCAGGAGGAGACAGAGGGAAGCAGAGGGAATGAGGAGCCAAGTCACCCAATGGCCCCTCCCCCATTTACTTTGGCACAGCTGCCCCCATATACCAGTGCCCTGAACACCAGGGGGACACTCCAGCCCTTGGTAGAGGCCACCACACAAGGTGGGGAAGGAGGAAACCCCCACTGCATGCATCTGTGTGCCCCAGAGGGGTCTGGTCAAGGGTCTGCATTCCTGGTGCCTGCCCTCTTTCCTGGCATCTTATCTCTTCCCCCACCCAGGGCACTTAAAGTGAATTCTTTCCTTATCTTCGGGGACAGTGCCACCCTGCATCAACAGTAGGGCCTCTGGCCCTATCTGCCTGTGCCTGTCTCCTCTGGGCAGGTCGACTTGGGACAAGGGCCACTAGCTCTGGATCTTTCATGCTTTCTCCAGGCCCTTTCAGTGCAGATCCTGGTTGCCATGGCAACACTGTGGTGGTACCAGGTGGTGGTGGGGGCAGGGAGCCAGGCCTGCTGCAGCTCAGCCATCTCCAGTGCCAGGCCCACCAGGCCAGGCGCAGGGACTGTGCTGATCCTGGGGGCACTCGGGGACTCCCCAGGCTGTGCAGGTTCTTCCTCTGTGATGTGCTGCTGGTGGGGAGAGGGAAGGACAGACTGAGAGCAGGAACACAGGGAGAAGGGAAATATGGGGGAAGCGGCTTCGAGGCTGGGGGGTGAAGGGTGGAAAGACAAGGTGAACTGAAGGACGATGGGCACTGGAGGGAGGTGGGACTTGCCAGGGCTGAGGGGTGCAGAGAGCGCACCCCCTCCATGGGACTGGGTCGGACACTGGGACCTGGAGCCCCTGCTGCCTTTGGGGAGAAGCAGGGGCACAGCCAGGCAGAGGCCTCCCTCCCACCTACCACTTAGGGGAGGTGGGGAGCGGAGGGGAAAATGAGGACCTGGGAGCAAGGGGACCAGCTGAGGGCCCAGAGTCCCTGTCACTGGCTCCTCTCCACAACCCAAGCAGGATGCAGTTTCCATGACAACCTGGCCAGCCAGAAAGGGGGCGGGGGACTGCAGAGGGAATTTTCCACATCAGCAGGAAGGAGCAGTGTGGGCTGCAGAGGAAAGAACTGCCAGGAAGGCGGGGGCCATACCAGGCCCCGCAGCCCCAAGTCCCCACACCCTCTGCYCTGTCCTCCCAGCCAGCCGGAGGGCAGAGGGAATGCAGGGAAGGAGCCTCATCCCGCCCCATTCTGGCAAACCCACCTCCGCCCACTGTGCAGGAGGCTCAGGAAAGGGACAAGGGTCAACTGTCCAAAGATCAGCAGCTGCCCAGGCCAGCTGGGCAGTAGGCAGCACAAGGAGCTCCTGCCACAGCCAGCCAGACTCAAGGGCATGGCCCTGGATAAGGCCCCCTGGAAGGTGGGGGTGGTGGGCTATGGCCGCCTTGGTGAGTCGCTTACCATCTTGGGCTCCTTCCTCAGGACCCTTCCCAARACCACCACAAACACATTTTTTATCTGTGTCCACCTACCCAGTGCCTTCCCAGTCCCTTTGTCCGTCTGTTCCCATCTGGGCCTCTATCGCTGCTCTCTGGGGATGTTCCCCTTTCTCTGTAGGACTCTCTGTCCCCCTCTATCTCTGTCCATCTATGTCTGTCTCTCTGGACCTGTCCATCCTTCCTCCCCCTCCCTCCCTCCCTCTCTTCCCCCTCCTCTCTCTCTCTGAATCTGTCCCTTCTCTGTGTGTCTCTGTCCCCACCCTTCCTCTGGCCCTCATCTCCCTATCTCTAGGTCTCTAGCCCTCTCCTTTCCCTCTCCGCAGGACAATCCCTTGTCTCCCACCTTCTGGCTCAGGGACCCGAACTGGGCCTAGAACTTGTTTTTGTTTGGAATCGTGACCCAGGACGCATGGCAGGGAGTGTGCCCTCTTCTCTGCAGCTCCAGGATCTTGCTGCCCTTGGGGAAAGGTCAGTGGCCTTCAGTGAGAGTGGGGCGTCCTAATGCTCCTGTTCTGGCCTTTTTGAGCTGTGTCTGATGTCAGGCAAGTCCCTGACCCTCCCTGGGCCTTGGGTCACTCCAACAYGAAAAGGAACAAGCACACCCAGCCCAGGCCAGGGAGACTGACAGCCCTCCACAGACTCTGAGAGAACCTGGGGAGGGGAGGCCTAATTACTCCCCAAGGCCCCCCATCTCTCCCTTCTTCCAGGCACCCTGATCTTGTGGTAGAAGTGGCCCATCCCCAAATAATCCATGAATCTGGGGCACAAATCCTGCGCCATGCCAACCTCCTGGTGAGTCCCCTAAACCCACACCCAAGCCCTGACCCCTTCAGCCATCTGTCCCCTGAACTCAACCCTCCCTACCTTCGTCCACCCCAGGTGGGGTCCCCCTCAGCCCTAGCTAACCAGACCACAGAGAGGCAGCTCCTGGAGGCCTCACACCGCTGGAACCATGCTGTGTTTGTGGCCCGAGGGGCTCTATGGGGGACTGAGGACATCAGCAGGTTGGATGCAGCTGGAGGCCTCCAGGTGAGGACCCACTGGGATCCCCAGGGACKAGTAGGGGCTTGCAAAGACCCCAGTCCCCCTGACCACAGCTGTTGCTTCCAGAGCCTCCGTGTCACTATGGCCACACACCCGGATGGCTTCCGGCTCCTGGGACCCCTGGCTTCAGCCCACATCACTGGGCCTCGCACTGTGCTCTATGAAGGTCCTGTCCGTGGCCTCTGCCCATTTGCCCCTCGAAACTCCAACACCATGGCAGCCGCTGCCCTAGCTGCCCCTAGCCTGGGCTTTGACCATGTGATCGGGGTGCTTGTGGCAGATCTCAGGTGAGCCAAAATGAGCAGGGGTTTGGTCTGGGTCCCCGCCAACCAGACTGACTGCCCTGCTTCCTGCAGCCTCACAGACCTACACGTTGTGGACGTGGAGCTGAAAGGCCCCCCAGGCCCCTCAGGSCGAAGCTTTGCTGTCCACACCCACCGAGAGAACCCTGCTGAGCCGGGCGCTGTGACTGGCTCCGCCACTGTCACAGCCTTCTGGCGCAGCCTCCTGGGTGAGGCTAGACCCTCCTCAGTGCTAGTGGCCCCTCTCCCTGGGCTCTGGGTGCTTGTTCACAGAGGCTGGGGTCTTGGGCTCTGGTTCTAAGTTTTGCTTCTCTCTGTGAGTCTTTATTTCTGAATCTTCTTAACCGTTCCACTCCACAACTTGAATTTTTGTATATGTCTCCATCTCTGTCCATGTCCCCTCTGAGTCTCTGTCCCACCTTCTGAAGGCCTCTGTCCATACCCCAATCATCTCTCTATCCACACCCCAAGTAAGTCTCTATCTGTCCTTACCACCAGTCTCTGTCTCTGCGTCGCTATCTGTTCACACCCCAAGTCAGTCTATCCATGTGTCCACACCCCAAAACTCTCTGGGTTGTCCTCCTTCTTTCATGTTCCTTCCACGCTGGTAGTCCCTTCACTTTTCTGCCCCACCCCCAAGCGTAGGTCTCTTCTCTCCGTCTTYCCCTCGCTCTTTTCCTTCAGTGATCTTTCATTGTCCATCTTCCCCCCTCTCCCTGCAGGATGCTGCCAGCTTCCCTCCAGGCCTGGGATCCATCTCTGCTGAGAAGCCTCTTTCACCCTTGAGGACATCTTGTCTGACTGATGTCTCCACCACCTCTGCCCCACTCTTGTCCGGGCCGCACTTTCCCAGGACTCCCTACTGTCTCAGTAAACCAGAGACTTTTTTAGATCTGTCCATCGTCTGTTTCCGTGATTCCCTCTGTGACGTCACTACGTCTGCACATTGTACATTTGACGCCATAGCAATAGGCGGGCCCACACCTCAACAAACCCCCTGGAAACTATCGCGAAAGCTTACGCACTACATTTCCCAGAAGGCTCTGGGTAATAGTGGGCGTGGGAAAACGGGAGGGGTCACCTTCCGAGACACATTTCCGGCACGTGCCGCAGGGACCGACGGAAGTTGTAGACCTGTTTTTTAACGGGTGATAGTACACTTCCGGGCCACGCAGCCTGGATATTCCGTGCGGAGAGAGAGTTTCGCGGGGGCCGCCGGAAGTCGTAGTTCGGAGCGCGGGTATCGCTGGGAGCTGTAGTCCGTCCCGCCTGTCCAGTCAGCGCCGTGCCGCCGCCTTGCACTCGGAGCCTAGAGCCGCCGCCCAGGGGGATGCGGGAACCCCTGGCACCGGGGAACGGAGAGGCAGGCGGGGTGAGGGGCGTTGCCAGGCAAAGGGCGAGCGCCGCGGTTGGGGTACGGGTCGGGGAAAGGGCTGTAATTATTTGGTGTCCGGGGAGGGGGCCTGTTTGCCATGTGATAGAAAAAGGAGGTCCTGTTGCTTAGTGACTGGGGAGGGGTCCCTGTTGCCAGGTGACAGAGGAGAGGACCTTGTTTAATGACAGGGGAAGGGGAGTCTTCTGTTGCTAGGCAACCCGGAAGGACCCTGTTACTTAGAGACAGGGGAGGAGAGGAGAGGAGAGAATTCCTCTATTGCTAGGTAATCAGAGGAGGGACTTTGATACCTTGTGTATGGGGGAGATCATCTGTTGCTAGGTAACCAGAGAGAGCTCCTGTAACCTAGGAACAGGGAAGAGGGGATTCTCTGTTGCTAGGTGACAATGATAGGGACCCTTTTACTTACAGACATGGCAGGAGTGGTTCTCTCTTGCCAGGTGAGCAGAAGAGAGACTTTTTAATTTTTTTGTAAGAATCGCCTCTGTTGCCAGAAGACGGCCCAGGGAACAGGGTCAGGTACCCAGTGTCCTCCCAGGCTGCTCCCAGCCCCGCCTTAATCTCCGTGCCCAAGGGGCCTGCTGGGAGGTTGGACCTCTGAGGTTGGCCCTCTAGATCCTGGGCCCCTGAGCACCTTCTCCCCTCCCAACCTTAGCAGGAGCTGAGGACAGCATGTCCCAGGCCCCAGGAGCACAACCCAGCCCGCCCTCCGTGTACCATGAAMGGCAGCGCCTGGAGCTGTGCGCAGTCCACGCCCTCAACAACGTCCTGCAGCAGCAGCTCTTTAGCCAGGAGGCTGCCGATGAGATCTGCAAGAGGTGACTGTCACCTGCCCTGACTCTCTCCGGGCCGGCTCAGAGAGGCAGAACAGCCCACCTGGGATTCACTGTGGGGCCCAGATATGCTCCTTTAGCTGCCTGAACTGGAGCCTGGGACTAGGCATGGAGCTGCTGCTTCTTCCACCCATCAGTCCCTGCGTCTCAGCCCAGCCAGGCCTCACCCTCTCTTATCACAGACTCTCAGTGGCCAGTTTTAGTCCTCTAGTACATTCTACACCCAGCCTCCGAGCTGACCCTGCCCCTCCCCTGCTCCTAGTCCTCAGACTCCCCAGCCTTTCTCTGAGGAGTGTCCCCCTGGCCTGATACCCAAGGCGCTGCCTGCTCTGGTCCCTGCCTGCCTCTGCAGCTTCATCTCTCTGTTCTCCTCGAATCTCTGCAGCCCCTGAAGGGGCTCCCCTGTGGCGATGCCTTTGGAACTTTGCCTAGGCTGTCCTTTCCACCTAACRTGGCTCCTGCCTCTTGGCAGCCCATGTCCTGCCTCAGATTTCAAGCATCACTTCTCCATATCTCCTTCTTTCCCTCCTCTGGCCCCTCAATCTGGCCCAACGCTCTGCTGTCGGGACCTTCCACCCAGCCTTCTCCTCAGCCTCCTCACCTCCAGTCTCTCTTCCAACAGTGCCCCATGTGACCCAGAGAGATCTCTCTATATCCAAGGATGATCCCGCCTCCCTCCCTCAGCTCCCCAGCATCCTCAGACTGATTGTTATAGGATTCCTTAGTCTCCTCTGTCATTCAAAATAGGGGTTACTCTACTCTTTCATGCCAAGGCCATGATGGGGGCCCAAGCAGCCCTGCCTTAAGAAAGGTGCAAGGAAAACAGGCCCACAGAAACCCAAAACTCATTTCCTCCTCCCCTGCCCTGCCTGCCATGGGCCCAGACAGGGAACAAAGGTACAGTTGTGGAGAGGAGCAGGGCTGAGGGAGACGTGTGTGGCATGGTGGGCCCTGGGCGGGGGAGAGCTGGGGGGAACAGCAGGCAGCTGGGACAGGTGGCAGAGAAGGGCCACAGATGCTGGGTGGAAGAGGTGGGGCTCTGCTGGGGAGACAGGCCTGGAGGGCTGGGAGCAGGGAGGGTGGATAGCCCTGAGTGAGAGGCGAAGGCCTCAGAACACAGTGGTCTGCCAGGCCTCATGCAGGGGGCTTGGTTCACTGGGGGAGCCCAAGAGCCCCAAGCCCAGCTGGAGGCCAGGAGACTCCCTTAGAGGTAGTGACATCTGAGGTGGCTCTGGAAGGACACAGAAAGGAACTGATTATGCTGAGAAGGCTGCTGGGTGGGACTCTGTCCAGGGCTGAGAGCAGAGGAGGGATGGGGGCAGCTCTGGGCCACGAGGGAGGTGGCTGGAGGGGACCGCTGGAGGCTGGGTGGGGATCCAGGTAGAAGGAGTCAGAAGCCTGAGCTGGAGCCCTGGGAACGGGGGTGGGGGGATGGGGGAGGTGTCAGGACAGGAGGGACAGAACTTGGGGTTGAAGAGAGGAGGGGTCGGAGGGGAAACCCTGGGACCCTCGTGATGCATGGGAAGGTTGAGACCTTTCCAGGATCCCAGCTCAGACTCTGATCACCCACAACCACCAGGTTGGCCCCAGACTCCCGACTGAACCCCCATCGTAGCCTCCTGGGCACTGGCAACTATGACGTCAATGTGATTATGGCCGCCCTGCAGGGGCTGGGCCTGGCTGCCGTGTGGTGGGACAGGAGGAGGTAGGACCCAGCATGCTGTCCTGCCTTGGCAGCACAGTGCTGTGTGGCCGGGTGGGATGAGGGAGGTTTGCAAGGCCTGTGCTGCAGCAGGCGGGTTGGAAGGCGGGTGAAGGACAAGGTGAAGGCCAGACGGTCAGGAGAGGCTGGCAGAGGATGACGGGCAGCACGATGGTCACTAGSCAAATTAAAGGAGGGCGAGTGAGAGGCTGGGTGTGCCAGGCAATGGGAGCGCATGGATGGGTGGGTGAGTGAATTAAAGATGGACAGCACTCGTGCAGTGGGTCTCTGACAGGTGGCTGGTAACTGGATGGGTGGGTGGGAGGTTTTGGTGGGTGAAGGACGTCAGGATAAATAGGAGACGGATCAGTGGGTGGTATTTAGTAGTTGAGGGGGGTTTGGAGGGTGGGTGGCTCGGTGGGATTCAATGCCTGGAGAATAGATGAGCAGGTGGGACGGTGGCCGTGGCAGGGGTTCTGGTAGGATGGATGGATCATGGAGGACGGGTGGGGTGACGACTCAGTTGCTGGGTACGTGGATGAATGGACAGATTGGTGGTGGATGGAGCTGGTGGGATGGTGGAGGTCTGATTGGCTGGGAGGCTTGAATAGGTGGACGAATGGATGGGTAAGAGGGAACAGGGGACTGGGGACCACAGAGGCCCACACCATCAAGAACCTCGGTAACATTTGGCCAGCTCATCAAGGCCAGGCAGAGCAGGCCTGACCCACGTCCCCTTCCCACTCCCCAGGCCCCTGTCCCAGCTGGCCCTGCCCCAGGTACTGGGGCTCATCCTGAACCTGCCCTCACCTGTGTCGCTGGGGCTTCTGTCCCTGCCACTGCGCCGTCGGCACTGGGTGGCTCTGCGCCAGGTGGACGGTGTCTACTACAACCTGGACTCCAAGCTGCGAGCACCCGAGGCCCTGGGGAATGAGGATGGTGTCAGGTGAGCCAGGGCACAAGTGACTGAGGCTGGGGCCTCGATGCTGGAATCCCGCTCTGCCCCAATTAAATGTGCTGGCTGGGCCTCAGTTTCCCCTTTCTCCCATCCAGAGCCTTCCTGGCAGCCGCCCTGGCCCAGGGCCTGTGTGAGGTGCTGCTGGTGGTGACCAAGGAGGTGGAAGAGAAGGGTTGCTGGTTGCGGACAGACTGACCTATGGCCTACTCTGCCTGCGTGGCTGCACCCAGCCTGAGTTCCAAGTGCCGGGGAAGGGCCTGCGCTTCAGGCACCTGGAGGAGGCCCTTCCCCTTCCCCACGTTCCCACTCCCCAATGCCGCTGCTGCCTCAATAAATCTGCCAATTTGCTCCCTGCCTGATCTGTGACAAACTGATCCCCTGCACCTGCTGAGGGTCCCTTTCCATCAGAGAGGCCAGATACCCTAGTGAGAGAGACGAGGGGACCAAAAATACTGCTACAGTCTGATGTGTGTGGTAGGGTAAGAGCTGAGCAGAATGTGAGGTTTATTTCTTGAGTCTCAATTGGGAGACAGGCAGAAAAATGGTCCCCACAGATGTTTAGGAATCCCAGAGCCTGGAATATGTTAGGTGACAGCAAGGTTCCAGCAAGGTTGCAGTTGGAATTTGGTGACCCATCAGCTGGCCTCACAATAGGGACATGATCCTGGCTCAGGTGGGCCTCATGAAGCCACAGGGGAAGCAGGGGGAAGCTCATCCTGGGTCTGACCTCCAGAGGYGTGAGATAATCCACCAACTGTGGACAGTGGCAATTCAGGTGGGGTACCAGGCCTCAGAGAAAGGCCACTGGGCAAGGGCTTGAAGAAGGCGAGAGAGGGGCTTGGGGAGGATGTTGGAGAAAGGCCTCCCAGGTGCAAAGCACAGCCCCACAAAAGCCTGAGGACAGGGGAGGATGATGGC